CAGTCAGACATCCCTAGCTGACACAGTGGCACATGCCTATAATCCCTGGTATGCAGAAGACTGTGTGACAGGAGGATCACCTCGAGTTCAAAGCCAGCCTGCATTACATAGTAACACCCTATCTCAAGGCAAAACAGATCTTGAAGGGGCTCTGGGTGTAGCTCAGTGGTAGAGTGCTTGTCCAGCTTCTGGGATGCCCAGGGTTCAGTCTCCAGCAACACACACACACACACACACACACACACACACACACACACACTGTCCTCCCTCTGTCATATTCTCTAAAGAAGGAATAAAGCTCTTAATTTCTTCCAACTAGAGCCTGGGGCTGGGAATTTGGCTTGGCAGCAGAATGCTTGCCTAGCAAGCTGGAAGCCCTGGGTTCGGTCCTTGGCACCAAAACCAACCAAACAAACAAAAAATAAACCTTCTCTTCCAACTAGAGCCAGTGTGGTGGTGCACACCTGTCATCCTAGCACTGGTGAGGCTGAGGCAGAGGGATTGCCATGAGTTTGAGGTCAGCCTGGGCTATAATAATGAATTCAAGTCCAGCCTGAACTATATGGCAAAACTTTTCACAAAAAACACGAAAGGGAGAAAAATAATTGTTTTCTTCCAACTGAAATTTCCTTAAGAAAAAAGGTGCAGACAGAAAGGGCCTTGCAGGTCCCAGCCACACCTACACCCAGAGAGAAGTGGCCATGCCAGTAGAAGAGCCTGGGCTGGAGAGGTGGGAGGGGGCAGGGTGCCCATCTCACAAAGCATGAAGTATGAGGTCTCCATTCAAGGCACCATGGGTGCCCTGGGTTTTAGGCAGGACGGAGACAGGGCCACCACTGCCAGCTCTGCTCTGAGCAGAGGTTCAGGAGCAGGGCAGAGGCAGCAGGGCGGGACCAGCGGCTGCCCTTCCCCCTGGAGACCAGAGAAAGCCTGGGCTCAGTGCTTAGCCCCACCCCAGCCCTGGGAGGGCCTGGCAGGGTCTTGGGGAGCTGAGAGCCTGGCCTGAGGAAGTAGCAATACCTGGTCTTGAACCAGCCGGGGAGCAGCGGGACCCAGAAGGAGCCACCATGCCTCAGCAGTGCGCCAACACAGATGTCACCAGAGGGAGCTGAGTCACAGGCCCTGGAGAGCAGCGGGTGTGGGATACAAAGAGGCCTCTGACGCCTGGTCCTACGCCAGGCTCCTCGTCTCTGACACAGGCTCTGTCTCCTCAGCTTTGTCCCTGACAGCAGCCACTAGGCCCAACCACAGATAGAGCTCTGTGGGCCTCAGGGGCTCCAACAGGAAGGCCTTGGCCTCCAGCTCTAGGGCCTACTCTGGGAAGACAGCCTGACCTCAGACCAGACAGGGCCTCCTCTCCAGGTTCCCCCATGGTCAGGCCTATCCCCACAGACCCCGTCAACCTGACCTCAGTTAGACAGTCCTCCCTCATGTTTTCTACCCCACCGAACTTCTGCTTGCCCATGTAATCCCACCCCCCTGGGAGAACCGTCTTTGTGTTACCAGTAGCCTGCTGGCCTTCCCTCCTCTGTCCTGACTCCCCTTGATAAGGGACATCCTGCTGTCCCAGAGTGGTCCCTCATCCTGTTTGGCCACTCCCAGGGTCCTGCCTTCCTCTAAGACTGTGGCTTTCTATGCTTCCTCTTGTTAGAATCCAGGTCACCTTCCTGTCTCCTTCTCCTTCTATCTTTATTGATTAACATTTTAGGGAGCAAAAATAACTCATGCTTGTCATGACAAAGTCTTGAGTCTAAAATAAAGGGGTGAGCTGGGTTCTCCTAACTTCCCAGGAGCCTTTCTTCTCAGACCCCTAGTGCCCTCATGGTGGGACCCATGATGCTGCCAGTTTATCTCTAGATGAGAGCTCCTAACTGAAAGTAAAAAAAAAAACCAGAGCAGGGCATGGTGGGGGTACACTGTAATCATAGCACTTGGGAGGCTGAGGCAGGAAGATTGCTGTGAGTTCGAGGCCAGTCAGTCTGGGCTATGAAGAGAGAGAGAGAGAGAGAGAGAGAGAGAGAGAGAGAGAGAGAGAGAGAGAGATGGGAAGAGGGGAAGAGAGAGAGAAAAACTATTTGGTAGGTGAGAGACGGATGTGGCACTGTGGGGGTCCAGGTCTAGCGGGAGGGCAGGCAGACCATGTGAGTTTGGAATAGTGCTTAGAATCCACTGTTCAACCTGAGCCCAGATTCACCAGGATTTAATCAGCACTGTCCTGGGCCCCTTTCACAGGAGTGTGCTGGGTGACACCGGTTCCAGCCAGCAGCTGAGGTGACCTCTGATCACACTGATATTCCTGCAATGTCTGGAATTGGATAATGGGGACATTATGATCCAGAAACTGCTGCATCCCAGGGCCAGGGCCAGGGCCAGGGCCACCTGCTCTCCAGTGGCCTGTCCTAAGGACTCCATCTACCTATGCAAATTATCTTGCAAATCAACTAACATTCCATTAGTTAGGTCATTTGTTAAGGTGCACTGGACATTTTTCTTCTTATTTTAGAGAAAATGGTCTTTTAACATTTTAGGACAGGGGCTGGTGAGATGGCTCAGTGGTCTAAAGCACCTACTTAGAACAAGCTTAGCAAAGCACAGGGACCGCGGTTCAATCCCCCAGCACC